GGAATCCAAACCCGGGTGTGAAACCCTCGCATTTGAATGAACACCCATGGAAATCTATGGAATACTTATGGAAACCCAAGGAAACTTATGATCACTTGTTGAAACCAATGGGAAACCTATCTGGAAGCCGGGGTTATCTGCACTCTTGGCTTGGATTGGCCTGCGGTACTTTCCTTTTGGTTTCAACCGGAACTGGGTTCAATTTTAGACCTTCCGTTTGGGAAAGACAGGCAGGGGTTCAATTGGAGACCAAAGGAACCCGCTCAAATGTTCTTCTGGACCCGTGACAGTCCTTGATGTCCTCACGGGTGCTTCGGACCGGAGATCTGTCTTGTTTTGAGGCTCGGTGCCGTTTTCAGGTTCGATTTAACCCAGACAAACATAACAACTTCTATTATTCTCTTGGAGAGGTCCCCGCAAGAATTTCAAGATTCAAACGGCATGTGGCCAACTTGAGGCTTGGTGCTCTTTCAATTTGTCGGAGCAAGCATGCCCGTCTTTGCTCAGCTGGCGGAAAGTTGGAAAGAAACTGTTACCCCTGTTCGGAGACTCATGTTCTTTGAATCTATGTAAATGCTTGGGAGGTCTCGAAAACATGACAAACCATCCGTCCCTTGTTTGTTTTTTTTTGGGGGGGGAACATATCTGAACGGTTCTTTCTTAAGAATGAGGCGGTTCAATAGGGTTGCCAGGAAGGCAACCAAGCGCCCCAACTCCCAGGCCCCATGTCAAGTAGCAACTTCTCTTTTTCTTAGGGGGTACAATCGAGAGTCTACGGTAGGCGAGCTAGTGGACATGTTTGGAGGCTGCACTCTGGATGTGACAAGCGGAAACCCAAAGCCGTTCCTTAGAGCTATAGAGAGTCTTCCCTGAGGCGCCGGATCTTTTTGAGTCAAAAGTTGATCAATCTGGTGGTTTCCATTGAAACCATCGCCACTGGTGGTTGAAGCGCAACCAAGGTGACCCCAGTCGCACAACCCTCCCCCAGTCATCGCCTTCCCCATATCTGCGAGCGGCATATCTTGCCGTTGGCGTTCACGTTACAGTGGTAGATGGGCGTTTGGAAGTTGATCTCTGGGGGTTTGAAAGGATAGTCGCTGGGCAGGAACACGTCCAAGGCGAACACGCCTCCCGGCGAAGGGAAAGGTCCCAGCCCGGGCTGGGCCTCGTCTAGCGCCTTGCTTTACCCAACGAAAGCACCTCTTAGCTAGTCTGGAATTAGGACCCCTGCAAAAAAAACATATTTTTTTTGCCAGGTTAGTGGAAAACAAAAGGGACCCCAAAAACGCAAAAAAAAAGAAAGAAAGGGGAGCTAATTCTGGGGAAGTTGGTGTGGTTGTCCCAGGCTGGTGCCTTTTCCAACACCAAACCGAAGAGCAAAGGTAGCTTTCTTTGGGGTTGCCCCTTTATACCAACCCCAACAGGACACAGCTGTATCCTTACCATGAAAGGTGCGCTTAGAATCTTTCGGTCAGACTTTCATAGGGGTGTAAGAAGTGGAGCAAAGGGTACACGTGACTTCAGAACATATAAGATGAGTAGTTACTCGGGGGAGGAAATTGACCTTGTTTAACTACACCATCTTGGGATCTCAAACCAAAAATGCAATCAGCTCCTTGGGGGTCCCCTCCTATATTGGACACCTTCCCCATTGCCCCAAGGTTTGTTCAATGGGATCCCGCCACCCCACCAATGGTCAGCTCGTTGGTTTGTTGGGTCCCTGTTTCTCAACTCAACCCAACATATTTGGGACGTCTCCGTGAGAGCAACCACAAACTTCACCAGGGTTGGCCTTGGACCCCCTGCATGCTGCAACGTTGCTCAGATTGCGCGTGAAGCATCCACCTGCTCACCAGTGGCATGGGCGCGCAAAGGTGGCGGATCATGCCCAGCATCATGCCAGTATCGTGAGGAGCATCATCAAAATGAAACAGTTGGGCGCCTGAAGCCTATTTTGATAGGATTTCTGGCGACATGTAGAACGAGGTGCCTGCGAGTCTTCATTCCTCCTCATCAATGTGGCAGCACCAGCCAACAGCCACTCGCACGTCACCGCGCTGCGTTAAAAAAAACAAAACAAAACAAAAAACGTTGTCAGGCTTCAGGTCACGATGCAAGATGCCAAGTCCGTGGACAACCGTCATGGCTTCCATCAACTACGCACCGCCTGCATGCGCCCGCGCTGATGGCAAAGGACAAAGGCAAGGGCCAGAGCATAGGTCGACGAAAAGGAACACTTCGTTTTGGCGCTCGCACTCATCCAAAAAGCTGTAAGACAAATGGAGCCACCTTAGTAGTCAGCATCTGCATGGCCAGATGATTCTCAAGGCAGCCTCCTCCGTTTCATACCAGGCAAACTTCACCAAAGGCCCCGTGCCTAAGAGCTCAGTGACGCGTTTCACGAAGGCCAGTGGCAGCTTACAAGGAAGATGAAAGCGCCAGCGCCGCGCAGTGACTTTGATGTCAAAGAGGGCAATATTGGCGAGAGGCACCGCCATGAAATGAAGGAAGCCAACATTCCCATGCCAAAGCAAAACCCGAAGCCTCGGGCTGGGGCGATTAACAAACCGACCCCGAGGAATTCCGGGTGTTTCGGCGTTTTGTGCATTGTTGCGTTTTTGGCGGGCGGTTGCCCCTTCTTTTGCGGGCGTGTTGCGCCAACTTGCGGGCGTTTCCTGTCCCGAGGCGTTTGTGGTATTTTGCATGCAAACAGGGTCAATGCCAAGAATTACTAGGAAATCCTTGACGCTGAAAGAACTAGTCTTAGAGTCCTAAACGGCTTGGTGGGCGAAGCACAGATGCAGCACAACTGCACCAAACCAAAATTGCAAGTGAAAACCAGCAGATTCTTCGGAGTTTGGCTAGACGGCTGTGGGTCAAAACCCTGGTCCCCTGATGAGCATCAAATTAGCTGGCAAATGGATGTTCATCCGCCCCAAAATGGAGCCATAGATTATGCCCCATGGCCAAATGGGAGAAAAACAAAAAACACAGTTTCGTTGCCTTTCTTCCTCAACCGTTTCTTAAGCCAAGTCCTTCGACTCCGATCTTCGGCCGGGCGAACGCTCGGCCTCCCTCGAAGGGTGTACCGGCAGGACCCTCCATCAGCGCGCGCCAGAAGCTGATGTCCTCCTAAAGGTGCGGCTGGGCACGCAGGCAACTCCCAGGATGAAACCTCCCAGTTGCTCTCGGCATTTTACGTCACTCTTTTTGTTGGTCACCCCTCAGTTAAATTAGTATCAACTGGTTGACACCTCCCACTTGCCCTCGGCTTCTTTTTTCTTTTCCCCGTCGCCCTTGTTTTTTGTTGGTATCCCTTCTTTCCACAAAGTGCCAGGCGGCAGGTTCGAGACAAATCCTTCAAAGCGCAACTTGAATCCAATCCCCCACCCCCCCACCCCCGCGCTGTTCTCTCTCTCACACACCCAACCGCCGCAAATTCCGAACCCCTCGCCGATCCCCACAGCCCCTCCGACGCAAACCGGAGCCGAGACGCGGAGGGGAAGACGTGGATCCCCTCCAGCGCCGTGGACGAGAGCTGCTTCAGCTCCGACAGCACCCGCTTCGCCGCAGGCGCCCCCAGGGAGCCCTCAGCAAGCTGACGCGTGGGCCAAATGCGCTTGGTGCGCTTCAAGAAAGGCTGGGTCCCGGTGTTTGTGGTGCCGTGGATCTGTGGATTTGTGCCAAAAGGTGGGTGCGTCGCTTCCTTTGAAGGGCTGTGGGTGCACGTCGCAAGTAGTTCAAAGAACAAACTGCGTCCAGGGGAGTACGTGGCCTTCGTCCCGGCCCAGCCTCGTTTTGGATGCTTTTTGGGGCTGAGGAGCCAAGTCTCTGCTGTAGACACATAGATCGCACGTGTCTCGTTGTGAATATGCGATCCGATCTCCGCTGAAGTTCCAGTTGCCACTATTCAAAATTGGGCATCGGGAAAGCCCAGAAACAAACTGCCCTTCGTACATGCTTTCCGTTGTACCGAGGGAAAATGTCTGGGACAGGGGCCCCTTGTCGGTACGCATCCAAACGTTCATACCTTTTGTTGGTCAAATGAACCATTGTGACGCACCAAGGTAGTTGCCGTAGCCTGGTCGATTAGGGCCATAGAGAAACATATTGCTTGATCTGTCAATCCTCCGTTCTGAGTTACACAAATATCGGACTGTTACAAGTAATGTTGACCCCGTAGGGGGTGGGAAAGTCTGACGAAACCCAGACATGGACCACCCCCCGATCAAAATCAACCGGGCTTGCTTCATCTGGGGTCCACAGTAAACCTCCAAGCCCCCAGGCCCCCAGGCTACATTTCTCCCGCGGAACCGGAGGCTTCCCAAGGCCTTGGGCAGACCTCCGCGAGATCGGCCGATCCGCCGATTCGCCGGATCGAGCCCGGCCTTGCTGCAGTGATCCACCGCCGACATGGACACCACCTTGGCCTTCGCGAGATGGTCCTTGAGTGCGGCTGCTTGGGCGTTGAATGACGGGCACAGACTGAGCCACCCCAAGAAATGAGGGTGAATTGTACTTTAGGATCCTCCGGTGGGCATCACTCAGGTGGGAATGTAGGTCCACCAACCTCCAGTGGTTTGCCTTTAAATACTTCCCCTTCGCGGAAACCGGAAAGGCTGGATACGATTTCATGTTAAGTTTTCACACGACCTATTCACCAGCCCTTTGCCAAGACTACATGTTTCAATCGCCTAACAATGCTCATGTGATCGGTAGAGGGACTCAGCGCTTGGCAAAGTGCTGGCACCAACCTGCTGCCAACCTGGCCTGCCTTGTCTCGTTCTGTGTGATAGTGCGAATCACCCCGACCAGCACAATATGCCAGCTCACCAAAAGCAGAGCAACCAGCGGAGATCGACGCGTTTTCCGGTTGTTTTCCGGGCAACGTGGTTTGTCTACGTCACACAAAGCAGCCAGCTCCAGGCCCTTCAATCTGGCTGTCCAAGGGTCTGAGAAGAGTAGCCACCTTATGGCTATTGTGGGCCCATTTGACAGCC